AATGTAACCGTTGTTGAAGCATGTTTGCTGTGGCTAATGCAGAGCTAAGATGTATTTTGTAGTTATACAGCATTTATATTTCTCCCCCTCTTCTCTCAGTCCGTTAGGGAAATCAGCTAATTCTATGTGTGAGCCAAGTGTAAGGGGAAATTACAAAACGTGGAAAGGTGGGGAAATATGGAACTTGGGAACAAAGAAGACAAAAGACTAGTTTGAGGACATCAGGAATACTCTAGTCTTACTGAAGCAGAGCCAAGAAGTAGGCAGAAGGCACAGTATCTCTTGTCCTCCTGGGTTTTAAGCACCTGCAACAGGAGGACGAACTGCAGCTTCTGTTTACAAGGCTGAAATTGGAAGAAAGAGCATCTATTCCTTTTCTTTGCCATCTTGATATGGATGGTTCTGCAGAGGAAAATAAGGATATGAGGTATTACATGCTTCAAAGGTAAGTTTTAGGTGCCATATTTGGACAATATGTACTTTTATAAGTAGTAAGGCATTGACAGCTAAGCCCTAGAATTTATGGGAAATTTAATTTGATGATTTTTTTTTTGTATCTATAAGAAACTTGTTTTTTTAGGGAAATGAATAAAAACTCTCATTTGGCTCTTGGATTTCTAAACCTTTATTTTACATTCAGAATTTGAACTAAAGATACCTGAACCCATGCATGATACTCTAACTACATTGAAAACAAGCACCCCTGCACAGAACTTGCTATTCGCTAAGGGAATCTCACTCCACCTGTGCCAGATTTGTTCACTGAATTTGGCTGGCTTTTGAGTGAAGTCTCTTCAGCTGTTGTGAAGGAGATATCAGTTCTGTGTAGGAGGTAGCATTATGTGGAAGGTAGTTTTGAGAAAACTTTTTTAGAATGCCAGGAAAGGTGCCTGCCGCCATTGTCCTGGCATGTGACAGTGGGCAGCCAGGCTGAAGCTGTTGAGGGTGCCAAGTTCTCTTACCCTAGGATCTTTCTTCTTTCTGCTGTTAGAACACAGGCTGAGGAGTGGATGAGTCAGGCTTTCTTGACATTCCTCAAGCCTCTTGAAGTCTGTACCTCTCCAGCAGAGGATTAACGTAAAAGACCTGAATGATTTGATTGATAGCAGTGATGAAGGGTCCCCTCCATTATCTTTTTTGTTTGCTTGTTCTTACAATCTAGAGTTTTTATTTTGAAAAACATTATCTGAAAATTAAACTAGAAACTGGCAAAAAACAGAAAACCGAACAAAAGACACCAAGTTGGCAAAATTTATATTTAGAATAATCATCTTCTCCTTTTCCTTTTCACTTGACCTCTTGTCTTGCCAATGGGTTTCAGCCCTGGGCAAGTTCACTATGGATTCAATGTGACCACAGAAATGACAGTAGAATGTTCGTGAGGTGAAACAGTTATACCCAACTTTATTTACATGGTGGCAGGTCAATCACTAAAACCCTGTTAACTCAGAGCGAGTCTGCGTGCAGCAAGCCAGTCTCTGCCTCTGGGCCTCTCTGCCTGCACAGCTGTCCTCTGGGGTCTGTCCTAGGTGCTGCCACCACTCCAGCTTCTGCTCTGCTCTCCTGCAGCCGTGCCACCGTGTTACCCACAGCACTGGGCAGGGTTCTTTATATAGAGTCAATAATGATGTATTGCTAGCCATGTGTGTAGTGAGCTAGCCAACCAGGGCAAGTTGAGAATCCTGGCCACAGGAATCTTCATTTTATCCACACCTCTTCCATCATTTTGGGCAAAAACCAAGCAAAACCTTCACTGAGAATCTAATAAGTAAAAAGCAACTGAGATATTTAAATAATTTAAATGGTGTTTTTTAAAAATGCAGTAATATAGTATTTGATTTTAAATATAAAATAAAAATGGATTGTTTTATATATATAAAACAAACATATATAAAGAAAACACACATTATTTATATATACACACATCTAAAGTTTTGTTTGTCTGTGGTTAAATACAACAGATGATCTGTCTATTTTTTTCAAGTAGGCATCCCTCCTAGAGCGGTCTGTCCTCCAATTTGACCAATCATCTAGGGAACTCCCTTCTCTTCTGTGTTGGATCCTTTGTTTCTTACATCTCTGGTCTTCCTTTTTCTTGGTTTACTCCATCTTTTTGGAGGACAACATTTTCAAATAATTTCCCAAGTAAAGATAGGTCAGAGGCGAAGATTTTGAGATGGGTTCTATCTTTACACTTGACTCCCTTGTTTTCAGCACGGTGCCTCACTTCTGAATATGGAAGATCCCATCATTAAAAGTAAGACAGATTTCTGTTTTTTCCCCCTCTGATAATAAGTGACCCTTAGAGCACTCCTTTGCTGTCTCTAAACCATTAAATCTGTGACCAATCCCTTCACCACCTTAATTTTATCAATAAAGACTTTGTTTCCCTTCTTGTCTTATACTCAGGCAGCCCCTTATTGATTCTAGGCTATATCTTGTCTATTCCTTCATGCTCTCCTTAAATAACGAAAAGCTGATCTCTGTGGAATGTATGTATGTGTGTGTTTAACTTCAGGAACGTAGAATTATATAATCATAATCTTTGGTTTGTGACACGTTCATTGGTCCATGTGTAGCCCCTTATTATTTATTTACTTGGTTAGTCATTTTAGAAATAATTTTAAAATAATTTGAAAACATACCACCTAAAACAAAGGTTATGTCCTTGGCCATCAACTACAACTAACCATATGGCCTCTCTTCAGCCTTTCTCACTGCAGCCCTCCACCCATATAATCAATTTCCTTAATTACATCTTCATCATATTCTTTTGTTTTCTGTTTATAAAATTAACTCTATATGTGTATCTTAGAAGTATGTGTATTTTAGTTGTTAATTTTATGATGTTTTTAATTTTATTATCTATAATATCTTTGGACCTCATGTCTATTAATCATATATCTAGACACTAAAGTTCTATTTCTAATAAATTGCCTACAGAATCTTTTGTGTTTTCTATGTAAATGATCACACATTCACAAACATGACAATTTTCTTCTCCTTTATAATCCTAAATGTCTCTAATTTGTTTATTTTTCCCTTTATTACACTTGCTAGGAAATCAGTTATAATTTATGAATTTTCTAAAATTGAACTTATTTAATTTGTCCCATACCTGGGACAAATTCAACTTGGACATGGAATAAAATATTTTTAATGTTTTGCCCATCCTTGCACCAGTACCCTACTATTTTGAATATTTTATTTAGAATTTTGCAGTTGTGATCATGAGTAAAATGGACCTGGACTTTTCCCTTCATGTAACATTTGTCTAGTTTTGGTATCATTGTTAGTCTAGCTGGGAAATTCTACTTTTTCTATTGTCTGGGAATTTAGGAGACTAAAACCCTTGAAAGTTTGATAGAACTCATCTTAAAACCACCTGGACCTGGTATTTTCTTTGTACTCCTTTACTACGAAAAGATCAGTTACTGTAGAAACAAGGTTAGAGTGTAGGAGAAAGGAAGAAAAGATGGGAGAAGAAAACAGCTATTAAAGAGTGTATAAAGGTTATTTATATCCATTAACTCATTTAATGTCCAGTCAGTCAGTGTCCAGTCAGGGAAAGAGAAACCACATTAGGTGTTATAAATAGAAGGCATTCAGTAGTGAGAATTAGTTACTTTGGTATTAGAAGAAAAACAACACAAAAGGGCTGCTGAGGTAACCCAGAGTTAATACCTGTAGGAGGCAGCTACTATCCATAAAGCTGGGAGAACAGAAGCAAGAGAGGTACTGTTACCAGAACCAAAGGGCTTGGAGGAGGGCCTCTGGGGGCTGGTGCTTGGGTCTCTGGGAGTAAGCTTTGAGTAGCTGTTGCTCAGATCCCTAAGGAGGAGGCCTGGCCAGACAGGTGGGCGATAGGTCCAGGCAGTGTAGCCTAGAGGATGAGTGAGCATTGCAAGGCTGGTACTTTGCCTGCCAAGGAGTCACAAGCACTGTTCTGAGTACCTCTAAGGGAATCAAGGCTCTTCCTTGTTTAAAGCTGAAAGATGCTAGAGGCTGGAATTAACTCTCTGTTACTGTGGAGCAAAGCTGTTAAGAACTGGAAAACAAGAACGAAGGCCCTTTTTTTACCCTCCTACCTTCCCATTAGCAGAACTGAACAGATTTTCACTCTTATTCCTATTTGCACACAATCAAGTTTAAAAGAGTGGGCTTGGAGCTGAGAGACAGTAAGTAAATAACTAGAACTGTGGATGCTGTGAGCAAGGTTAAGTTATTTGTGAAAGATCATTGGAGCTATTCAGTGTACAGATCTAGATTTTAAACCCAGGTTTCATCTAATCTGAAACACCATTGATTGTTAGACGCACCATTATTGAATGTGCCACCAAGAAAATAAATTAACTGCTAATGAAGTAAAGCACACCATCAGTGGTAAGACACACAAGAATTTCAGGTATTTTTAAAAGTCATGAAAACCCCCAAAAAACAGAAGAGCATCTTATAAACAATGAAAAATGGTATGTTATACTGCCTTATAAAGAATTTGGTTTTAGAATTGTTGATTTTGAAACACCTATGGGATACACAAGTAGTACATTTAGTAGACAGTTAAAACCGTGGAGTTACAGCTCATAAGAGAGGTGGAAGCTAGAGATACAGAGGTGAAGGTCATCTCTGTGCTAGAATCATGATCCAGAAACAGCTCTGTTGTTTTTTTCTTTTCACTTCAACAGTCTCTCTGAGTCTATTATTTGTACCATCTCATTTCATTCTGTCCTTTGCCTGTTCGTGATGACACCTGTTCGTAAACCTTAATATTATCTTTTATTATTCAGAAAGACTTATTTTTCTCTTAAATTTTCACAAGCTAAGATCTTTTTATTCTCTCTTCTATTTAAAAAGTATGTGGTCTGCTAGAATGCAGTCTACACAAGGGTACAGTTTGACGTGCTATTATACATATGGTAGTGAAAAGCAGATCTCCAGGGGAGATAGGTGGTGTGAAGAAACCCTGTCTATAGACTTACGTGGCTTCTCTATTTTTATAGGTCCAGCATGTCTGGCTTGCACCTAGTAAAGCAAGGTCGAGACCGAAAGAAAATAGACTCACAGCGAGATTTTACTGTAGCTTCTCCAGCAGAATTTGTTACTCGATTTGGGGGGAATAAAGTGATTGAGAAGGTAAGTTATAACTTGGCTAAATCATTTTTTTCAAAAGTACATGAGATCTAATGCCTAGATTTGTTGTCTAGATTTACTCAAAACAGATGTTTAGATTTTCAGAGAACTTTGCCTCTTTATGCAGAATTATCCTTTCTGTCTCACTAGCATCCTATTTACTATTTTCAGTAATATGTATTTACTACAGATAATTCAGTCACAGCTAATAAGATGAAGCAGTGCTCATAAAGTTCTCTTTAAAAGATCTTGTGGTTTTGGCACAAGATAAAGAGGCTTAAAATCTCAATCGTAGTCATGGGGATGAAAGGACCACATAGAGAATATAGTCAATAATTCATTAGCATCTTTCTGTGGTGACAGATAGTAACAACACTAATTGGGGTGAACATTTAATAATGTAGATAACTGTCAAATCACTATGTTGTATACTTGAATACTTGAAACCAGTATAATATTGTATATCAACTCTACTTAAATGAAAACAATTTCAAAAATAATTAAAGATCCTATGGTTTTACAGGGTTTGGCTGTACTACTCTAGAAGGGTATAATAAATTGATTAGCTTATGGGGTGTTGGTGAAGAGATGATAGGTCATAGCACTGAATTTAGAGCAAAGGGAGTAGGGAGTCTTTTGGAACAAAGGGCTTTAAACAGTTTGATATACTGACTTACTACCTTCTACCAGGTTATTTGAGATATTTAGAGGGAATGTGCCACATGAAATGCTTAAAGAGATTACAAGTATTTTGAAATGTTATGAGTACTTCTGTCCCTTTTTTCTGATACCATGTCAGAGCTTTGGCTGAAATAGCTCAAGTGATTAAAAGATTAAAGGGTGGGGACCTATATTTCCACTCAGAAAAATATTGCTTAGTGTTGTCCTTCTGTTAATCTTCCAATAAATATAGATTATGTGTCTCCTAGCCTTTTTCATCCTTGGGACATGACAACAAGATAGGTAAGGAGCTGAAAGGTTTGTTTACAGAGAAGTCTCAGAATCATTGTTTATTCTACTCTTTTTCTTGTGACCATTCTTTCTAAAGCAGTCTCTACAATTCTAGGGCATTTTGGATTCAGCATTTTGGAGACAGAGGGTAGTGTTTGGTGCCAGGGTTTATCATGTTTAGGACTCTGTATCTTGTTTTATTTAGTACAACAACAGAGAATAGTGCATGACACTACACTGTTTAGTCGTCCCCCATTTCTTATTTGGTAATACATCATCCTTCTGAAGTTTGTCTCCTTTTGTTCCCTAGTAATAGCTAGGGTAGAAAAATTCACAAACTCACAAGATTTAAGTAATTGTCATTTTTTTTCCCCTTCAAGACATAAAGTTAGAAAGGAGTTAGTTTTATCTGGCACATATTAAAGTGACTGCTTAGCTAACATTTAAAAATACCGCTTGATCACATGGGAGTTGATTCCTAACTGCCTAGCCAGCAATACAAATTCCTGGTTGAGAATCTGGCTTTTGAGAAAGACATCTGCAAAAATGGTCCTTTCTCTTCTTTTTTTACCCATCATTACCTGCCTTTTCTACTTTTCTCTCCAATTCCCATCCCCCCCAACTTTCCCAGGTTCTTATTGCCAACAATGGTATTGCAGCAGTGAAATGCATGAGGTCTATCCGTCGGTGGTCTTATGAGATGTTTCGAAATGAACGTGCAATCCGATTTGTTGTCATGGTCACACCTGAAGACCTTAAAGCCAATGCAGGTAAGTTTTAGAATAAGAAAGTTAACACCCTCAAGTGTAAAACAATGAACAAACAGCACAGCCTTTAAAGTAGGATAATGTTAACCTAGGGGGATTCCCAAGCCCAAGGAGTTCTCTTTTAAAAAGTGTCAATAATAGGCATATAGATGTACTATATGTAACCCGGACACAGACTCCGATGTCCTAAGTAAAAGTAGATAAAATTAACCAAGGTGTTGATTTAGGTTTTCAGGTGTATGCCTTTTCAGCATCAAATATTTGCTAAGCCACATACCCCCTCCACCTGAGGGAGAGAGGACCCAAGTAGGTTTCACTCTGCAAGCTCCTCTGCATGTTATCTCTACTCATATGGCCCTCTGTCTGAAATTATAGAGAAAGACTGTTGGTATAGCTGAAAGGTTGTGGCTAGTCTTTCCTCTCCTTATTATCACTTAAGTATAATCCCTAAGTTAGAGTACCCACAGATAACATTATCTCTTTAAAGAGCTATCTTTTTAAACCTGTTTTGGTCTGTATGTTCTCTCTATTGAAACAATGATGCTATGACCATTCCTAAGGATTATTATGTTATTTAGAAACAGAGAAGGCAACAATTTATTAGAAAGCAGATGTTATGTAAAATCATTTAGATCGACCTTTAAACATCTCTGAGCCACAATTTTTGTATCTCTAAAAGGAAGATCATAATGTCTATCTATCTCACTGGCTAGTTGTAAAGGTGAAATTGTCTACAAAAAATTTAAACTACCTTTCATGATTTATTTTACCCTATTTCTACCTGGTGCTCTAATAATACATTTTTTTCATTCACTCAGTGAACATATAGACCCACAGTTGAATAAGATGTGAGTTTGCTTTAGGAAACATAATTTCAATACATTGAGGCAGGTGCTACAATAGAAATATGCACAAGGTACTATTAGAACACAGAGAAAAGACATCTTAACTCTGCTCCCTACTCTTGGTGGCAAGGTTAAGAGAAAGCTTTCTGAAAGGAGTTACATCTAGTTAAGAATTAGTAATAGTGAAACAATTAGGGGGAGACAAGGGTGTTCCAGGCAGAAAGAATCATATACGCAAATGTGTGCAGGTGTGACACAGTGGTTTTCTGGAAGGTACAGGTAGCCTGTTAAAGTATAAGATGTGATCAGGTTTGTCAGGGAAGGCCCTGTTTTCAACCTCAAGCGCACAGGTTTTGTATTTTTAGGGGTGTGTATGTATGTGTTGGATATCAAACTATTTGCCTTTTAAATGGATTAGTTGTTGTCTTTTACAATTCAAAAGTGGAAGAGTAATAATGAGCCCCTTCCCATCTACCTGTCTTCCAGCATCAGCAATTATCAACTCATGGGCAATATTGTTTCATCTATACTTTCAACTCCTTCCCCCCACACATAATTTCTGAAGCAAATCCCAGATTATCATATTACTTAATCTAAATATTTCACCATGTATCTCTAAAAAATAGATAGATGCTTTTGAAAGATCCTTTTGTGGAAGGCAATAGTAGAGGATACGATGAGGCTAAGAACAGAGAGGAAAGGGATGGGTGGTTTCAAGAGATTAAGGAGGTAAAATTGGCCAGATTTTGTGATTGATGGACAACTTAATGATTACTGTTGTGTTACTAATTTGGTTGACTTAGGCAGATGCTAGTAACCATCAACTAGGGCAAAATAATAGGTAATATAGCAGGAAGAACAAAGTTTTTTGCAGGAGAAGACAGATTAGGTTTGGAATACTTGTCATACAAACAGATTGTATAAACCCTACAAAAAGTTGAATGCATCCTTCCAGAATTTAGAAATAATGAGGGCTGGGAGATTAGGAATGTACATTATCAGCAAATATATGGTAGTTAACACTAACCCCTAAAAGAACAGATAGAAAATGGAGGTGCTCAAGATGGTGGCGTGAGTAGGGCGTCTGAAATCTCCTCCCAAAACCATATGTTTTTTTGAAAATACAGCAAATACAACCATTCCTAAAAGACCAGAAGATACAGTACAACAGCCAGGCTATATCTACATCTGTGAGAAATCAACATCTCATGAAAAGAATAAGGTACAAAGCCATGACCCGGTGGGACCTGAGCACTCCCCCCACCCTAGCTCACCAGTGGGAGGAAAGGAATCAGAGTGGGGAGGAAGTGGAAGCTCCAGACTGCTAAATAACCAGCCCTAGTAACCTGCACCGGGAGCACAAACACACATTACATGGTGAACTGAATATTAGAGAAATGGAAAAGTAAAATCCAAGACGGAGACTGTGAGCGGGTCACCACAGCCAGCTCCCCTGGGACAAAAAAAAGCAGGCACCTTAAAAGTCTTAAAGGGTCAAGGGCTTAACAGGTGGACAAAATCGTCCTGGTGCACTCAGCCCAGCAAGCTGATATCTTAAGGAACTTCAGGTGCCCTAACCCCCAGGTGGCAACACAGCTCTGAAGCCCCTGATGGCAATAAGCAGTCTGCTGTTCATTCCCCCCTGCCAGCACTGCAAACAAGCCAGCTGACGTGGCACTGCTGTGGACCAGCCAGGGAGCAGCCCTGCCCACAGCAACCACACAGAGTCTTGTCCCAGTGTGCAGCTAACCGGGCCAGACCCAGAGGCTGCCGCCAGTACTCAGCTGCTGGGCACAGACAAAGGAAGCTGACGCAAGGTCCAGAAGGCACAAAGGGGCGCCGTTCTCACAGGAGAACACACCTGGCATGTTTGTGACCCCCCCCCCC